CTGCGGGCACGCGGAAGGGAGCGGTGAGCAGGGGAGGGGAGAGGGCGAGCGAGTGAGAGTGGAGACGCAAATGTTTAGGGGATGGACGATGGTGTGTAAATTAAATGAACAGATTATACTGAGTAAGTCAAAGCAATGGATGATAATGAGGGAACTCTAGTGAACGGACGATAGAAGTGAATCAATAATGAAGTAAATCAGTAATCGTAATTAATAGACAGCAGTGAGTAATTGAGTAACCTGAATATACTTGAGAATGAGTAGATAATTCAGAGTGTGTAGATTAATGATGGTGAGTAGATGATAGTAAATAATCACGGTATGCTATGGTAATGGTGATTGTGAATAATAATGGGACTAAATGAACGATAACGTATAGCTTGGATGAATAAGCTACATAGATAAAATGAGTAAACAAGGAAGCATATGACTTATAGATGAACTGAAGGACATTTATAGGAAATGATTATGTAAAAAAGTACCAAAGTAAAACTATTGTCATTAATTCAATACTAATCCTAGGCAAAGGATAAAGGCATATCAGAATTAACGTATTATTATCACACGGTGTTAATTAAAAAACGATAAATGCACAATCAACACTTAATTTCACTGTTAGTAAAAGAATAATTAAAATCATCATTTTATGAAGGTATTAATGGATTAATCATCGTGTGGTAAATATATTGACGCACAAAAATATATTCATAATCCAATCCAGGAAGAAAAGGAGAAGAAGAAGAAGAAGCAAAAGGAAAGGAAGAAGAAACAGAGGAAGCAGATGATGGTAATGAAAAAGAAAGAAAAAAGAACAACAACTACGACAAGAAAAATAAAAAAGAGGGAAAAGGAGGAGTAAAAAAAATGGAAGAACAATTATGATTATAATGGTAACAAGAAGAAGAGGAATAACAGTGACAGGAAAAATAAAAAGAATGAAAAGAAGATAAACAAAGAAAAGAGACAATTTTTTTTTAATGAGAAAAGGAAACAGAAACACGGTGGAAGAAAGTTTATACAAATTATTATATCAACCAACATCTGCCACTCCTCATTGAATGTACAACAATATGCATTCGAAGGTGTAATTCAAACCTTCTTTACTTTATGAAACATCGGATCTGATTATACAATTGAGTAATATATATGCTATGTTATATTTAGTTGTTTTATTTGATTATACGCAGTACATATTGAATATCCATTATCAACAGTAACACTGAAGTGCTGTTTCATCGTAATTCTACAAATGATAAGTATTTTATTATGCTAAGAAAATATAGATCAACATTTGCTCAGAGGTTATAGGTCTCCCTAATTATGCTAGACCATATCACAACAACAACAACAACAACAAAAGAAGAAAACAATTAGTTATTAATTAATGTTTCCCTCATACGCTTCACGCATTCCATCTCTCACTGGGTTTACATCAAGGGGAGTTTAAAAAGGTAGAGAGTTAATTAATCGATCGAAAGATAATAGCCTGATGATTAGATGCAAAGGATACGAACCCCTATCATCATAAAATAATAATAGGGTTGAGTGTGGGGAAGATAGGGGGAGGGGGAGAGAGGGGGAAGGGATGGGGAGTGTGAGGAAGGGGTTTAGGGTAAAATTAATGAGTGTTCTGCTACTGGGTATAGAAGGCTTTGCTTTTGGGTGACGGGGGAAAAGTGTTGGTTGGGAAGGGTGTTCCTGTGTGTTCCTATTTTTTTTACATATTTCTAAAAGGGGATCTTATTATCATATGAATGAGTAGTGCATTGTGTGAGATGATGCTTCCCCCCATTGAGTCCGTATTGGTACGAAATAGTGATGCAAAACGAGGGAAAAACGGGAAAAAAAAGCTGGGAAATAAAGGAGAAAGGAAGAGATAAAACGAGACTAGAGGCGAGGTAAGTACTAATTGCACGGTATATTTGAGATACAAACTGCACCAAAATCAGCATCAGTTATTCCTTATCAAGTTATCTGTTTACTTATTTTCTATCATTGAGATAACTAACAAAGGCGTAATATTAGAGTTGAGCATATCAAATGAAGTTTATACGGTATGTAGGTTCAGTCTGTTTATAGTCAGTTATAATTTTAAACTGTAGAACGTAATTTACCTTTAGCCTTGCAAAGGTATTTAGGGTTATCTACAGGGCGTTTAAAGGAATATTTAATTTCTTCTTGAATTCATGTATAGATATAAATTTTTCAGTGGGAGGAAGTGAGAAAAATTGATTGAGTAGTAGACAGGTAGATGGGTGGATAGATAAATAGATAGTCAAATAGACAGATAGATAGATAGTTAGAGAGAAATAAAAAATGAGGGAGGAAGGAAAAGAGACTGAGAGTTAGACGAAAGGGCGGAATACACACACACACACACACACACACACACACACACACACACACACACACACACACACACACACACACACACACACACACACACACACACATATACAGAGATAGATAGATAGATAGATAGAGAGAGAGAGAGACAGAGAGAGAGAGAGAGAGAGAGAGAGAGAGAGAGAGAGAGAGAGAGAGAGAGAGACATACAGACGGACAAACAGACAGAGACAGACAGACGGACAAACCGACAGAGCCACACACACATCCATACCGACAGACAGAGTGAAAAGTCGACGAAAGTGAGAACCATAAATGAGAGAAATCAATAGCGAGCATCGGCGGAGGGTGCGGGTACGAGCGAGCGCTGGCGGCTGGCGTCTTGTCCGACCGCCGAACTAATGGACTGCCGCTGACACCCCGACATGTCCCGCCTCACTCTCGGCTGATTGTGGGTGGCGGTCCGTGTGAACGCTGCTGGAAGTGTGGACGTGGGTGGGTGTTTGAGTGGGTGTTTGAGTGGGCGTATGTGGTCTCTGTGGACGGTAAGTGGGTGTGAGTGGGTGTACGTGCGTCTGTGTGAACGCGTGTAGATGTACGTGCGTTTATGTGTAACATGGAACGTTTATGTGTACATGGATGGGTGTATTTGGAAGAAAGCGTGGGCGTCTCCGGGAACGAAGTGTGAACGCGGGTTGAATTTACTTTGCGTCCGTGTAACCGTGGGCGGAAGAGTGGGTGGGCGTCAGTGTGAGCGAGGGTTGATGTACGCACAACAGTTTGAATGTCTTTGCGAACGTACATGATTGTAGGTGAATGTGCATCTGGAAGAATAAATACGGAGCTGAAATTTTATCTGGTAACACTATTGCATTCAAGTATAACAAAATAACCCCTATTGTTAAATAAACGAAGTTGAAAAACTCTAAGGAGACTTTGTCATTAGTATCTAGATATTTAAAACCGAATTCATGAGATAGTATATGAAGAAACAGACATTCCCTGTCTTAATTTCCTAATCCAATGTTAGTCCCATCACTTAGCTATACTGCCTACAGCTTACACTCGCGAAAAGATAAATTATTACACGAAATTTATAAGCAGATAATAAAATGGTAATAAAAAAAGAAAAAAAGAAAAAAAAACACAACAACAACAACAAACAATCTCACGTCGGAAAAAAGAAAAAAATAAGAAAAGAGAAAAATGAATATAGATAAATAAATAAACAAATATTGACGAAAGTGGGCATCATCAAGAAAACATCTGGCATTCTCCCGCCAAGACAATAAATCGCGGGGAAACGGGATATGAACTTTCCCGCCAAAAGGTTCACTCTCTCCAAATCCACTGACATTTATTGTCTACCATTTCCCTTCCTTTTCCATGATATTAACATATCGATAACAATTTATTCTTAATTAGGGCTGATATTTTATAGGAATTACATGATATATAATAATTTATGTTACACAACTGAACAAGGAAGAACAAATGAACACAAGAAACTTTTGTTTTCACTTTTCGGACGAACAAACATTTAGGTTAAATAGTAATCATATAAATTTTATGGAAGGGGGGGGGGGGAGGAAATAGACCTAAAAGGCAATTATTTCAAATATTTACACGCGTTTTTATCTATTTCATTCATCTGTTTTTATCATCCTTTTAAATCACTCATCCTAAGGAGTATAAACAACGGCATTAACATTCGGTTTAAAGATTAGAAAGTAGAATGTTAAATTATTCTAATAAGAGTGACAAAATTTGCTCAGACTTTTTTTTTTCACATTATTTATTTAACAAGGTTTATTGTGATATATTTGAATGCATTACACTTACCAAATAAAATGCCAGCTCGATCGCTTTAGAGTGGCTCCACACTTATTCGGCCAGCTGTACGTAGATCTTTATTAACGTCTACAATTTGTGAACGTGGCTGGCTGTATGTGCGTCTGTGTGAACGCAAATGAAAATATGATTCTCTGCCAGTAGGAGGGAGAGGACTTTCATGCAAACCTCTGTGTGAATGCGGAATTGAATGAGAATATATGTTCGTACGGTTGTTCGAAATTTGCGTGGTCATGGGAATGTTTTTGTGAATGTCCGTGGAGACGTGGGGGAATATGCATTCAACCTAAACCTTATCAAGAGAGAGAGACTCCTTTTTTTCCCCTTATGCTAAAACGCGTCTCTTCTAAGGTGACATGTTAAAACGCCCCAAGACCCTTTTCTCCGTGTCTTTCTCCCACTTGTTTCTCAGCGGGACAAATTGAGAACAATTTTATTAATTTCTCTTCCCATTAACTTCTCCTTTTCCTTAATGAGATCCTCATGACGGTGAAAAGGCTGACTGCTATGCAACTAAGATTGTTTCCAAGCTTGAACATGCGGGATTTTCAACCTTCTCGACATCGCCAGGTGATTAAACTTGGCGCTCGTTATAAACAGTTGCATACCGCGCTTTAAATTGCAAGGCTTTATGCACTAAGGGCCTGCTTGCAACGGAGAGCATCTGAGTATAGCCGTTGCTCATTAAAGAAAATGTGGAAACGGTTTCATTTCCTCGTACTTTACCTTTTGATGTATTAGTATACAGTTCTAGATACCATTGAATGTATGTCACTAACTACCAGTGTCGGTGTAAATGACAC